AGCAATATATATATTACATTTTCCCTTTTCTCCTATCCTAAAATGTGCTTGGTATAGGACACAAATCCATAAATTTCAAGTTAATATTTTAAAAAATATTTAAAAAAGGGTATTCGTGTAATTTTGGTAATAAGCAAATTTTAAAATATTTCTGTGAATTTTCCCATTTTTTTTTATGATAGAGTATCTACTCCATGAGATTAAATAATTTTTGTTCTTAATTTCAAGATCTACCGCACTATTAAAATAAAATTAGAAAAAATTTAACGAATGAAGAAAAACCTAATAGATTAATTGAATTGTACGTGTATTTGATAAAATCAAAATTTCATTTCGATAGACTATACAGGGTCTCTCTATGCTAAATAATTTTTAAAAATACAGGGTGGGCCAAAAGTACCGGAATGGAGGGTTAAAGCACTAGGGGTTTAGAATTAATTAATTAGAATTTAAAAAAATTCTCGTGATCTTGATATGACCTTGAAGGTCAGGGTCCAGGTCAAATTCAAGTTTGTCATCGGATAGCCAGGGAAAATCCTAAACCACTAGTGCCATTCTGGTACTTTTGGCCCACGCTGTATATTACATAGAACAAAATAATTCATCAGTGGATATTTAACAGTTTTAGGTTAGACAAAAGATGGTCTTTACGCAAACCGATAAAAAAATTTGGTCAGTTATTAATATCTATAATGTTAGGCTATCTGTAACTATGCATAAATAATGACGTAGGTATTGAAAATATAAACCTTAAACAAGATTATTTCAACAAAAAAGTAAAAGGAACATCAAATAATAAATAACTTTAACAAATCACAGAATTTTCAACAAAACAGTCTATTTAATGGTTACATTTTCCATTTTTTTAAATCTATTTGTAGTGATTGTCTGTATTTGTGATTATATTAAAAGACGATTTTGTATTGCCCTTAAAACATTAGATTTTAGCAACTGACCAATTTTTTTATCTTTGTACAAAGACCATCTCTACTTACAAATTCTAATCTAAAACAGTTCGACATGATGAATAATTGTTTTTATACAGTCTTCTAAATATTATAATTTAAAAATTGTACTTGTAATTTTGACAGTTTTTTTCGAGCACAGGAAACTCATATATTTAAGAAGATAAAGATAAAACATATACTACTGCACATGGTGTCAATTTCCAGCTTCTCACACCCACCACCACCTGCTCTATTTCGTAGTTGAACAGCTCAGTTGTGCAGTTAATTTATGCTACAAAGTTTAGTCTGTTATAAAAATAATAGCTCCCTCACTTAAGGTACCCAGGAGGAGAATGGCAGGGCTTGCGCAGATAAATTTCAATCTTTGTTACCTCTATATCTTCCAACTTATTTGATATATAAGTATCAAGACAAATTTCAGCGAGCGTTACATTCTTAAAAAATTATAATCAGCCTACTTTGTCCAAAATACTAAAATGTTGTAACGAAGTGAAACACACTAATGAACTTTATTTACTAGGAAACGAAAACAACAAATTTCACAACATTAAGAACCTATTTCCTATGTCTAATTAAACCAGTTATGCTATATAAGTATAATAAGAGGGATCATCCTTATCTCTTTCCAAGTACTCGCGTTCGATCAACAACTCTATCCGTTTCTTTAAATCATACGGTTTAGCAGGAATATCCAATGCGTTAAATAATTCAGAAATTAACTCATTATGGTTAACTTTCTTCTTATTTTTTAGGATCCGAACAATGGCCGCATCGATCTGAAATTGCCTATCGGCTAAAACGCTCTTCTCCGTGGCTTGTTCTTCCTCAACAGATTCTTTGAGTTGGATTTGGTTAATTTTCACTCTAAACAGCTTATCAGTAAATTTACTGTTAAAGTAAAATATGTCGTCGTTCTCGACGTCTTTGTTTCCTTTGAGCTGTCTAAGCAGAACCCTAGTTTTACCGCAAGCGAGAGATATCAAAGTTCTCTTAAGTTCTTCTGCTTCCATATTAGTCAGTTCTTGAATTTCGGTAAAGGTTAGTTTATTGGAGTTATTGAACAACAGTAAAACTATGGTTTGGAATAAAGAAACTTGCAATTCTTTATTTCCGCATTCGAAGACAGCCTTAACGATGCAATGGCCAAGATTCGGCTGCCAAACGAGTTTTCTCCCGCTATGGTTGGTCGAATAGAATTTTTGGAAAGTAACTTGGTAGTTAATCAGTTCAGCGGGAAGATTCACGTCATAACTAGGGTAGTTCGGCCAGAAACTACTTGTCAAAACGTTTATGGAGAGGTCAGTGGGCGATGTGGATGTATAATGATTCAGATGTTGCTTGAACGCAACGTTCATGCCTTGACTGATATTAATGTCTTTGAACATTCCTTCAATTTTAGAAGTAAAAGCTGCACCGCATTCTGCTTTTAGTTTGCCTATCATACTGTCCTCGGCATCTTGACTGGTGGATTTCCCCAGAAGTAGCCTCTTTGCTAAGTCCTTCTTATAAAATGCCTCGAATATATCCTTACCCTGAATATATCTGAAAAGTACCATCACTTTGTTTAAAGTCTTTTCTAGTTTTTCATCAGATAGTTCTTTGCATCTTAGTTTGACGTCGATGTATTTTGCTAATAGCTGAGCTGGTTTATTTTGTCTGTTGTTGATGAATTTAACAAAACAGTTTCTTATATTATTGTTGAAGATATCGTTTCCTTTGAAACAGTTGTCAACTATGTCATCTAATTTATCTTTAAAGTCGAGTAATTCTTGGATCATCGTCTTCTCGTTATCTGGTCTTGTTACAATTAACACACCTTTCTTTAATACGTACTCTACAAAATAATCTGAGAGGGTATTTATACCCAAAGAGACTTTCTTGACCAAGTTGTATAGTATGCCCAATTCTTCACCTATTTGATTTTCGAAGAGAAGCGCAAACGCCTTTTCTAATATATTTATCAAATGGTCTTTTATCAAATTTTTATAAACGATCTCCAGGACGGCAGCAGAAGTATATTTGTTGAGGTAATTTTTTGATCGTTCTTGCTCCTCTTTAATTCTTATCTGGGTATGCTTTAGGTACTCACGTATATCTATAGATGTAACCAATACATTTCCTTCATCAACATAAAACTGATGAGATACTCGTAGAAATTCTGTTTGAAAAATATCGTCGTAGATTTGTAATTCCGTCAACATCCCCAGTACTGATTTTATCAAGTGAATATCAATTTTGTCCCCTTTCCTTTCCAAATGTATAAAATGTAAAATTTTTCTAGTTAGATCTTTCTTTATCGTCGTATTTAATACAATAATAATCTTGAATAAGTTGACGCTGAGGTTTTGGACAGTATTGAATTTGTTTCCATTTCTTGAAGACCTGTCGCAATTTAAGAAAATATTTTTTATAATATTTACTTGCTTGCAAAATTCCGTCCAGAGATAACTGATAATAATTAGCAAATCTTCAGTATTATTTAACAGTGCATCAAGTTTTTGCTGTAAAGCTTGCTCTAAGATATCTTGTAATTTCTCGTACAAAACATTTCTGTGAGTATTGTGCAAGTTTTCAACAATCCAAAACAATTCTTGCAGAGCAGTTTCACGTTCCTTGGAATTAAGTATAGCACTTAAGTTATGTTCGAGCATACGCACAGCCTTTTCAGCATAATTGTCATGCCGCGGTAAACCGTTAAAGTTTTTTATACAAATCTTTCGAGGGGATGACATATTTACCATTTTTGATATAATATTGTGACTAAATTTAATGTGACAATATTAACCGTATCAATTATTTTGTATTTAGTAATTCATTTGTTCTCTGATTCACTTCTCAAAGTTCTCCGACAATGGAAACCTAGAGCAATCCATGGTCCGTGGCATATTCAATCTAAATCACTGATCTCTGTGATAAGATGAGAATAATCTAATACCATATGGATAACCAATCATATGTTGATTGAAATATGATAATTGGCTAGAAATTACATCATGAAATATTTTCAGTTGATTGCCTAAGATTCATAGTTGCCTATCTCTACTTCTTGAATCAACGAGCGGCAATGAACTAGATACACACTGGAATGGATGCATATTATGTTCATGAGGCCAAATTTTAAGATATGCAACCCGCTGATGCGAGAGCATTCATCTCTCTCGCACTCATTGACATTAATGGAAGTTAGGAGCTACTTACTTTTACCTTTAATACGATTTTTTATATTTTTAATGATTTTTTTTCTTTATGAAATTGATGTGAACGTAATCTACTAATACAAATTTAAATTTTAGCAACGAAAATATACAACTATAGATATTAGTAAAATTCTCATAAACAATAATGTAATTAGAGCCTAGGTATGACTTTTCTATGCCCCTGACACAAACGCAGAAACGCACTCATAACTTATAAGAAAACACGGTGGACTCCCTTCCAGTGTACATACTGTTCATAGGCCAGCAGTGACATTTACTAACAATGCAAAACGTTGACATGTATTAGTCCCCCCTGCCCGCTAACCTTTTCTGTTTCAGAGACAGCTAGGATCAAGAAACGAAGACAACGACACAAACACACACACATACACACACCCCATACCCTCCTTACCCCTCCCCTCCCGCGCTAGCCTAAGGGCCACCTTAGCAAAGCGCATCCCAGGCTGCATAGCCGCACTACCCTACCCAACCATACCACACATAAACATGACACTACCCCCGGGGTTTACACAGACGAGCCGGCGAAGCAAGAAGAGCGCCAGAAGAAAGGGCCCTAGCCGGCGGGGCCCAGCCAGGACAAAAGGAGGTCCCACAAAGCGCCTACCCCGGCCGCAATTGCGGTCGGGGTAGACGACGGATGGGGCCCACCTACGAAGGCTGTCCAGGCCTACACGAGATGAGGCAGGATAAAGAGGGATAATTCCCCTCGATCCCAAATCATTGAGGCCAATTTCTAGCCATAGAATAATGGCGCTACATGTATTAGTAGTCTGTGGATCTGTGGGTAAATAAAGTAGGATTCATCTGTATATTTTATTATTCATTTTTTGACAGTGCTTCTGTTTTTGATGTAACTTATGAAGTCTTAACGGAACAAAATCTGAAAATACTAGTGAAAGTATTTGTTTCTGGTGGTTCCTACTATTAAAATCCTTTATATTATATAATTGTATAAAATATTTAATATAATTAATCATGGCGAAGCAAAATCTGTCGTAAGTTGATATTTCACTTGAATATTTTAGGTACTGACATGCGTCCTATTTCAGGAATAAAACTAATAGATTTAGAACACAAAAGTTGCAAAATATTAAGCAAAGTAAAAATTTGAGAATGAAAAATGGTATCAAGAAAAGATTATCGACATCAAAAGTTCAGGATGCCCGACAAAAACTTTTACAGAAGAAAAGAAAGACTGTTGTAGATGCTAGAGATATATTGGCAAAAATGGCAAAAACTAGAGATGCCAGAAGTAAAATTAATAGAATACGGGATGGTAGAACAGGACTGTCCTCTTCTAGTGGAAATGTTAAGATAATAGGTTCAAATATTTTGAGGAAAACAGATCCTAATGGAAAAATAAGTTTAGTAACAAATAAAACAAAACATAAATCTGATATTAATTTGGCGATACAGAAGCAGTTAGGTTTAATTTCATCACCAAGGTCTCCAGTTAAGAAAGTACCTCCAAAACGGAATGCAAGTGTGAATACAATTAGAAATCCTGTTCAGATTCGTAAAACAATATTAAATGATATGGATTACAGTACAGCTGAGACCCTCAGAGTTTATGATCCTGCACTTTATAAATGGACTAGGCCAGAACTAAGAACTACTGCTTCGCAAATGATAAATTCTTTAGAGACTACAAGGCAGGCAATGAGAGAAGCGTTGAGAGAGGAATTAGGGAATGGTTGGCAAAACTATGTTACTCCCAAGTAAGTAATTTCCATTTTATTTATTACTGCAAATGTACTTTTTTATCAGAATATAGAAATAATCTGAAAAACATTTTATAGACCTTTACGAATGCAACCATCTGGTTATATAGATTTGGATGCCGTGGACGATGAAGAAATGCCTTTAGTCCAAACTAGATCAAGAATGACATTGCAAGGAACTTCAAGAATTTCCAATGTACATTCAAGATTAGATAGTATGCCTGCCATTTCAGAGTCTCATGGCATTTTTTCACAAGCTAAGACAAAAGTCGTAGTACCGGCTGGGCATAGGATAGTGGTATCTAACCTGCAACCAACTGTCACTCAGGATGATATAAAGGTAAGAATTAAATTTTAAATGATAAGTATGCATGGTGACAGTTGAAATTAAATATGTGTATACATAGTATAAATTATAATGAAATGTATTAAACAGGCTGAACCAGAGCCGGATTAACAGTGTCTTAGGCCCGGAGACGCAAGGGTTTGGCGGGCCCCCTATACAGGATAGAAATCGAGAGTGAGGTGCGGGGTGGGGTTTGTCACCCAAAAAATATCTGGAAAAGGACTGCTTTAAAAGTATTTTTGTAGCTTCTGACAACACAGCCACACAAAAAAAAAGTTGCGACATATATTATCCATAGTATTTTGCCTCCTGATCACGAATCCGATGTCATAATTGAGCTATCACATCACAGGAATTTCCTAACCTCAAAAAACAGGTCAAAGATAGCAAAAATTCACGAAAAAGTGCTAGGGAATATACAAAAAAATGTTTTCTATATTCAAATGTTCATTTATATGGTTAAGACCCTGCCGAACGTGAATGCGCGGGCAGAATTGATGGTTCTTTTTCTAACCTTAAAAAATGGGTCAATTAAGGTCAGATTTCACGAATTTTCCAAAAATTAACAGATTCGCGCTAAATTTGGTATATGGGGGTTTTCGGGGTCACTGATCACGAATCCGAGAACGGATTTACAAAATTCCTTTTTCAAAATTTATTCAATTACCTATGAACAGTTGGCGCCACCCAAATGTGAACGGATTTTGGTTGTTATGGAAATTTCATCTGGATTTTGTCGTAGTAAATCAAACTTTTCTTAGTGGCGTAACACAGAGAGGGTATTCTGATTCATAAATTCGACCAAGGCATTGTCTTCCGCGTCACTGGAAACCTTTCCGACACCTTGCCTGATATATATTTGTAATCTTTGTTCTTCTTGCCAGCCTTATTTAATATAAAATATACAACTCTTACTGACATTTAAATCGGCAGCCACTTCACTCAAAGACCAATTATCTTCTAATTTAGCTACAGCCCTTGCTCTTTACGCCTCAGTTAAATGCTCCTGCATATTTCACGTTACTTGTTTACATTTCATTATGTTTGCTCTAAGTGACATATATTTGACAACTATTGAATTTTACGACGACCATGATTTGAAGTTTAAATTACACGGTACAGCATTGCGGTTCACATTTGGGTGGCGCCGACTGTACTTTAAGAAGGTTAAAACATGATTGGGTACTCAGAATATAAAGTAAACAAAAATATGGTCAATTAGCCAGTAAGCCGGACAACGTCGGTAGTCGGAAAAAATTGATATATTGAGAAATAATTACCAAACGTGAAACACTATGCTTGAAATAGTTAAAAATCCAATTTGCCAACCTTTCCATGTACTCCCATATAATTTTCATTTCTGCAGTTGCCGTCCTAGAAACTTTAAAAGTGCGCCAAACTGACCATATGTTTGTTCTCTTCAATTTTTATGTGTTGAAGATAGGTGTATGGTAGTTTTAAGGTAAGTTAAATTCCAAACTAAATAATTTACGGAGTGGGATAAACATTAGACATGTTATGAATAGTTTAAATTTTCTTTATAAATCACAAAAAAGCTAGTTTTTAAATATTTTTAGGTTAAATTTAAGTGGCCGGCAAATTGATGTATCATTCTGTTGTATATCCAGTAGTCGGACAAGTGTCCGACTACCAGAAACAGAAGGCCATTATATATTTCTCTTCTTTTGGCTTAATGCTAAGCGAATCTTTTTTAACTTAGTGTAATAAGCCTAAAGTTTTAAATCGTATCCAGTGGACAGACAACAAAAACTAAACGCAAACGGGGATTAAGGGAACTAAAACTTGTCCGACTACTAACCACTGTCTAATTTCATGTGCTTCAAAAGTCGGACAATTAACATTTTGATCACAGTTTTTTGAGAGATTTTTTCATATTTTTTTATTATTCATTTCCTTTCAGATATGAAACCTAAAATGAAAGGAAAATTTCATCAATGCGATGAAGATTCATTAAAAAAAGCGGTAGAAGCTGTTCGAAATGGGGGGGAATTGCGCGAGAAATATGCAGGCAGTATGGGATTCCAAAGAACAGTACAGGGCTGTATTAAAGGAAAAGTAAGCGATGTTTGCAAACATATGGGACCAGATCCCGTTCTAACAAGGGAAAATGAAAAAAATTAGTGACTTGGATTGAAAACTTAGCCAAGTGCGGATTTCCGCTAAAGAAACATGTAGTACTAAATACTGTACAGAAAATTGTGCAAACAGAGAAATTGAAAACTCCGTTTACCAATGGGAGATCTGGTTTGAGTTGGTTCTATGGTTTTAAGAAGAGGCATTCACATTTAGCTTTAAAAAATGCAGAGTCCCTTGAGAAGTACAAAGCTCAAATAACAGAAGAATATATTAGGTCTTGGTTTAAGGATTTAAAGCAGTTTTTAATTAATTCGAACACTGCTGATATCTTAGAGGACCCATCTCGTATTTTAAATGGGGATGAAAGTGGCTTCTGCTTGTGTCCAAAGACCGGTAAAGTATCGGGTGTGAGAGGACGTGATCTCAACATCGTTAAACAAGGTAGCAGTAAAGATAATTTAACTGTGTTAATTACTTTCACAGCCGATGGCAAACTTTGTCCCCCATTTGTCATTTTTCCGTATGTGAAACCACCAAAAAATCTAGTAGACTGTATGCCCCCAGACTGAGTTCTCAGTAAATCAGAGTCAGGGTGGATGAGGTCAGAGGTATTTTACTTGCTTAGAGTTTGCTTGGAGAAAGTATTACAAAGACAAATTAAAGGAAAAAGAAGATAAAGAAAATGCAAAAAAGAAGAGAAAAGTACAGAATATGAAGAAAAAACAAATTAAAAAAACTAAACCAAGAATCTTGACTAGCAAAAATTGGGACAATATAGATAACGAACAAGCAGGGGGATCATCCATTAATGATGGTGAAATTGGAACAGAGATTGGCCATCAAGAAAACAAATCTAAGCAAGTGCCAACTTTTAAAACAAAATTGTGGAGAGTGCGAGGAAGAGCTCGAAAGTGATGCGGAAATCGAAACAGAAAAAAATGTAGGATGCAATTTATGTCCTCGTTGGTTTCATCTAGGATACACAAAATTATCAGGACTCCTATGTTAAGGTCTCCAACTTAGATTTCATCTATAAATTCTGCTCTGATGACTGATTAGTCGCTCAATATATTTTTCATTCGGCTTCCTAATTATTACTAAATATATTGTAGGCAGTTAAGGCAGTTTCTAAAATATATTATTTGTTTGTTTAAACTTTTGATTGTTGAGAATTTATTTTATAATCTTTTTAACAATCAACTCTTTTACAGTTACTGCTATGTTTGAGAATCTGTCATAGTTCCTAAATACATAAATATTTTTTCTGTGTATTATTAATAAAAACAATTGACCCTGTAAAATGTGTTTTACTGATCAATTATTATAGATTATAAAGCAACAAATGTTATATACATACTTACTTGAATTCATATAAAAACGCAAACTAAAACATTCCCAAAGATTTTATAAGATACAATGCAACAAATTTGAATTAAAATTTTATGAAATACATAATACGGAACTGTGCAGAATCAACAAATTAGAAAGTGTCCGGCTACTGGCAATTACGTGTCCGGGAACTGACAACTATTGTCCGACTTCTGGGCAACATAGCACCTTTTATTTTAAAAAAACGTTCAAAATTGGCAGAAGGTTTAAGAAAATAACAGTTGCATTTAACGCGAAGCTAAACAATAAGATTATCTATTGAAAAAGATTTTCATTTCATTACTCAAATACATGAAATTAAATTACCACATTTTTGTCGTAACTGTCCGCCTACTGGCTAAGTGACCATATTACAAAGTCAATTTCGCAATTCTGACCCCGGATCCGTGATCAGCGACCCCGAAAAGCGCCGTATACCAAACTTGGCACGAATGTTATTTTTTGAAAATTTGTTCGGCCGTCTTTGATCCGCCATCTTGAAATTTGCAAAATTGACCTCGGATCCGTGATCAGCGATTCCGAAAACTCCCGTATACCAAATTTAACGCAAACGGGTTATTTTTTGAAAATTTGGTCAACCATCAGGATCCGCCATCTTGAATTTTGCAAAATTGACCTCGGATTCGTGATCAGCGACTCCAAAACCCCCCGTATAGCAAATTTGGCGCGAATCTGTTATTTTTTGAAAATTCGTGATATCTGACCTTATATGACCTGTTTTTTTTTGACCGCGGATTCACATTCGGCGGGGTTTTAACCATATAAATGAACATTTGAACATAGAAAAAAACTTTTTTTGTATTTTTCCTAGTACTTTTTCTTGAAATTTTGCTATTTTTGACCTGTTTTTTCAGGTTAGGAGGGTTTTCTGTGGCTATGCAATCAAATTAACGAAATATACAGGTAGTTTCGTCATGAGACAATATGAGCCACAAATGCGTAGGTACGTTATGTAACTACGGTTTTGTTATTGTTCTGTTTTTTTTTTTCGCTTAGGAAAATCAGTCACAAATGTTAATGTTAAGGAAAAATACATAATAACAATTTTTTTTATTTTTATTATTAAACTACGAAACAAGAAAAACAACAAAAACAAAATAATGAAAACAAAAATATAAACTCTTAAATATACACAAAATATAGTTAGTAGGGCCTGGATTAATCAAAAATTGGCGAGGATGAGGAGTGGCATGCCAGTCACATAAAATAAGGAATCAAAGTGTAGGATACTGAAAAACTTGTTTCTATAGATATTAGTTAAAAAGAGTAAAATTTTTCGACAGAACAGTGGTCGGGTGCGAGCGGGCCCTTGAGGCTACCGGGCCCTGAAGCGCGCGCCTCATGCGTTTCACGGTTAATCCGGCACTGGGCTGAACTTTAAATCTGTACATATATTTTATTTCCAATTGGGAATTTCAATATATTGACCCCACCAACAATTGTTTTTCATCAATTTCCTTTGCTCATATTGAATTATTATGTCACACACTTTTTTGGAAGTTACTAAGCCATACACAGTTTTGTACAATATTGTTGCAAAAACCTCACAAAAAATACTGACGGACAAGAATAATTATAACTAGACATTTTTTATTATCAGTACCTATTTGCTTTTTAAGGCAAAAAGTCGCAAAAAGTGCTATGTCCAAACCTGTCCAAACATTTAGTTGACATCTTTGGCAAAATATTATTGCGAAGGGTGAAGATTACCTTTGGGAGAGGGTTCTCAAAATGTACATGTGAAGGCATGGATTTTAAATTAATATATCAGTGAATTTTGAAAAATGACTTTCTCTGGATTCATTTATTTCTCAAATGCTTGACCTTTAAGGTTCACTCTGTATATACAATTGTTTTGGCTTCTACTTAAATATTTTAGGAATTTCATTTTACTGATTTTTTGCATTTTCTAAAATTCGCTTTTGATATAAGAAAAGCTTTCTCAAAGGATGTTTTTTCCTCTACTTTTAGGAGTTGTTTGAGGATATAGGACAGCTTCTTGCAGCAAAGTTAGTCCGTCCCGGTGTTGCTGAAGTTATCTATAAGAACTTGAAGGATGCTCAAAAGGCAGTTGATACCTATCACAATCGTCAACTGGATGGACAACCTATGAAATGTCTTTTAGTTAACAAGAGACCCCTTAATCAGCCAACTGCTATGCCACTTACTACTTCCGAGGGGTGAGTCATTATTTAACTTTTTTTATCCTTTTAAATTTAAACTTACTGGAATGTGTATTGGCCTTTATGCCTTCTAACAACCATATTTGGGGAATATCTCTCTCACTCAGTACACTCAAATTAGAGAAGTTTTTCTTACTTTGATAATATATACTAATTATCTATTTATTTCACATTATGGGGTGATTGTGATTCATGCCGTTAAATTTTAAATGCATATTAATGTGTTGATCTTTATTAGGTTTGTTAAATATTAATTATAAATTTATATTCTGTTTCTCTAAATTTATAGAGACTGTTAAGGAGGTTTATCTGGATAAATATTTGGATACCTGAGAGACAAGATACAGAGTCTTATCAGAATGCAGATTTTTGTTGGTCGAATGCGCAACAATTGACGAAACCGATATCTCAGGGACCGTATGACAACTCGTAGAAATCAATTAGGTCCTTGTAAGATACATAATTTATAATAATTCTCCTTCAAACTGTTGTCATTGACTAACTTAACCTCCATATGTGTGATAGCGGCAACGCTGCAGTTCTTGACCTAGCATATTATTTGAAATTCGCAGGTGTGACATATGATGTATATTTCAAGCTTAGGCAAGCGAACGCCGAGCCGAGCGTGCCAGCCAAGTGCAACGTGGCCAAATCAAAAGGCTTACTAGTTTAGTCACTAGCAAATCTACAGAAACTCTCGTTAGACTTTAGACGTACCCCCAATACCTTATAAACCTCCTTAATGACGCAATAATGTTAGCAGTATGTTAAAAATTTTATGGAATATTTCAAACATGTTTTAGTTGCACATTGTTGGTAAATCAGAAAAACATTACTCTGTTCTGGGGGGTATAAATCTCTTTTTTAACTTCAAATTAATAGGTATATGGCAAAGAATTCATGTTCTATAGCGATCACATGTATATTCAATTTTCTGTAAAACAGGTTTATAAAAATATTGTATCAATGTCTAACTTAAACTGAAATAGTGCGACTCAAACAACACTCAGTCATTGGGATTATTAATTTTTCTTTTCTTGCATTACATATGTATTTCAATCTGACATATTATCTGTAATCATGCACCAAAATAAAATAGGACCTTTTTTTTCTGAATAAAATATATGCCATATTTGTAACCAAGATTACTTTTTTGTGTGTATAAGATAAGGTTCGTTCTTTCCTTCATGTGTCAATTCAGGTCTGCTTTAAAAATTTAGAAGCTGTGAAACAGTAGCTTAAAATTGAATGCCTTTTTAACCCTTTGCCTTACCAATTATTTTTCCGAAACCGCTCAAAAATTTCCCAATTTTGTCCCAGTTTTCTCTAGTCATTGCACTGTTTCGAACACAATCCACAAACCTTTGTAGGATTACCTTTCTTCCGAGTTATCTCGGGTTAGTAATCTGAGATCTGAGGACCAATTCCAAGGCAACTTGGGATATTAAGGGAAAGGTTTAAGAAAAATAATAGATGTCAGTTAAATGTTTACTAGGATTGCTTGAAAGGCAACTCAAAACTTTGTTATCATTGTCTCCAAACCATCTTTTTGTAAGTTAGGTTGTACTATAGAGAATGCATCCTCCTGGAAAATGAAATTTCTGTCACTAAATTGTTCTGTGGCTGTGGGGAGTAAGTTACTCTCCAAGATATTCCGATATATACCTATTCCTACCCCCCTTTGTCGACATGCGTCCTCAGATCATGACTCCTTGTGGGAGTTTCATTGTATGTTTTAAGCACGCTTTGCCTTTCGTATCATGCACATATTAAAATCCTCAGCAAACATGTCAAACTTAAACTTATAATTGAAAATTACTTGAGCCCAGTCTTCATTTGTCCAAGTAGTTCTAAATTTATCTAAAGTTAGGGGCTGTTTTTTTCAGGAGTTCTGCCAGCAATGGTTTTTCTTGATTTAATTCATTTATTTTCATCTAAGGTGGCCACCCTTAAAGTATTGTCCATTCATTTCCGGACACGCTATACATAATTGAAGCTAGTTGTTAGTCAGTACATTACGTTCTTCAATAGTATTTTATTATAACATAATATATGACATACAGGGAGTTACCAAATTCGCGGACACGGACTGTGGGATCATGTTAAGCTAGATAAGGTGATAAAAAAATGTCGGTATGATTTTTCAATCAAACCAGTATTTTAAATGGACAGCGTCTGCCAAGCCAACGTCCAAGAAAAGTATTATTTAGGTAATCACGTACAATTAATACAAAATGGGGACCTGCGCCATCGTGCATAAAAATCATATTTTGACGCACATTTAGGGGTATGTCATCCATAAATTCCGAGAATAGTTGCTGCAGAAAATCCAAATAATTTTGTGTGTTCGTGTTTGGCATAATATGAATGAATTAAAAAGTAGTTAGAATCCATTACAATCCCCACCATATGTTTAAACCAAAACGACATTGGCAATTTCTGGCTCTTGTTAAATGTGGATTTTCATTACCCCAAAAGTGATTGTTACACCCTGTATATCGTTAGAGACCTAACCTCAAAAAAGTTGTCATAAAATGTCACTGAGTGAGGTCGTAGCTAGTGACATCTAGCAGATCGTCAAAAACTAATAATGTTGTCCTCTTCAAACATTTACCTGTATCAAATTTCAATGATTGGATTTTATTAAAAAATATTCTATTTGACATCCTGAATATGAAGACTCTCCATCCATAGCAAAAATTATCATATTTTTTTTGTTTCTCTTGGTGAACTCTTGGCCCACTGATTTTTTATGTGTGCATTTTTCAAAAATTTATGTTCAGGATTTAATAAAACAAAATATCGTAGGATATTATTAGTCCAGTCACTGAAGCATTTTGGCTACCAATTTTTTCGGATGGAATGGATTGATGTGAAATTTGAACTGTAGCTAGAGAATAGCCTAAGAAACAAAAGTTAGTGCCGATGTCTGCTTTTACCCTAGGGGTGGATGCCACCCCTTCTGGACGGTGGTAATTTTTTGTTACAAATAATCTCACGATTTGATAGAGGGACGAATTCTAAGCAAAAAATGTTCTATAAGATTTTTTTTTACAGTCAATACTTTTTGAGTTATTTGCGCCTAAACATGTTGGCCTAAACATGTTTTTAGCCCAAAAAATGCGTGTTTTTGAGCCATTTTTCGCGAATATCTCAAAAACTACAAGTTTTATCAAAAAAATTATCATAAGCAAAAATGAAGGTAATTAAATTGCAAAGAGATTGCTTTTTTAAATTTACCCGAGTTATGACTCCCAGAAGTTGAAGTCAATTTCGAAGATAGCTATAATCGAAACGTTCAACATCCCGTAGCGGAAAAATTAAAGGTTTTTTGATCAGTTTTCGAAATCAGTATTGAAATTAATGACTTGACGGAAAAAAAATTAAACGTATTCCTTCTGCAATTTACTTTATTTTTGTATTAACAATATAGATTCTGGGAATTTGAACGTTAAGATTTTAGAAGCCTAAATTTAAAAACAATTTTCATTTACTTTTAAATAAATTTTTTAAATTTTAAAAAAATCGCCTTTTTTCAAAATATATCAAAAACTAACAGTTATAAAAAAAAATTATAGAATAAGAAATTGTAGGTTTTTTCTTACTGAACGATTTGCTTTTTTTTTTAATTTTTATAGGACAAAATTTGACTGAGTTATGACGGTTAGAAGCTCAAAACTATGCTCCAAGACTGCCGTTCCTGAGCCCTTTTAGCTTACAAATCTAAAAAACGAAGGGCTCAAAAAAACTGCAAATCACAGAACTTAAAGTGCTTTAAATTCCCTACAAATTGGTTTCTTGAGTAAATTTCAAGTTTAAAGTTGTTAAAAAAATTAATGAAATTTTTTTGGTAAAATTTTCGGAGCGGGTAAATTACCATCATCTTTGTGTATTTTGGAGCACTTGTGAACTGATTTGATATAATATAATATAAATATAATAATNCCACCATATGTTTAAACCAAAACGACATTGGCAATTTCTGGCTCTTGTTAAATGTGGATTTTCATTACCCCAAAAGTGATTGTTACACCCTGTATATCGTTAGAGACCTAACCTCAAAAAAGTTGTCATAAAATGTCACTGAGTGAGGTCGTAGCTAGTGACATCTAGCAGATCGTCAAAAACTAATAATGTTGTCCTCTTCAAACATTTACCTGTATCAAATTTCAATATCCTGAATATGATAGGCTCTCCATCCATAGCAAAATTATCATATTTTTTTTGTTTCTCTTGGTGAACTCTTGGCCCACTATGATTTTTTATGTGCGCATTTTTCAAAAAATTATGTTAAGGATTTAATAAAACAAAATATCGTAGGATATTATTAGTCCAGTCACTGAAGCATTTTGGCTACCAATTTTTTTGGATGGAATGGTTCAATGTAAAATTTGAACTGTAGCTAGGGAATAGCCCAAGAAACAAAAGTTATATAGTGCCGATGTGTGCTTTTACCCTAGGGGTAACCCTTCTGGATGGTGGGAATTTTTTTATTACAAATAACCTCACGATTTGATAGAGGGACAAATTCTAAGCAAAAAATGTTCTATAAGAATTTTTTGTACAGTCAATACTTTTTGAGTTATTTGCGCCTAAACATGTTCGTTTTTAGCCCAAAAAATGCATGTTTTTGAGCCATTTTTCGCGAATATCTCAAAAACTACAAGTTTTATCAAAAAAATAATCGTGAATGAAGATATTGCTTTTTTAAATTTACCCGAGCTATGACTCCCAGAAGTTGAAGTCAATTTCGAAGATAGCTATAATCGAAACGATCAACGTCCTGTAGCGGAAAAATTAAAGGTTTTTCGATCAGTTTTCGAAATCAGTATTGAAATTAATGACTTGCCTGAAAAAAAAATTAAACGTATTCCTTCTGCAATTTACTTTATTTATGTATTAACAGTAGATTCTGGGAATTTGAACGATTTTAGAAGCCTAAATTTAAAAACATTTTTCATTTACTTTTAAATAAAATTTTTAAATTTGTTTAAAAATCGCCTTTTTTCAAAATATTTCAAAAACTAACAAAGTTTTGAAAAAAATGATAGAATAAGAAATTGTAGGTTTTTTCTTACTGAACAATTTGCTTTTTTTTAATTTTTGTAGGACACAATTTGACTGAGTTATGACCGTTAGAAGTTCAAAACTACGCTTCAAGACTGCCTGTCCTGAGCCCTTTTAGCTTACAAATCTAAAAAACGAAGGGCTCAAAAAAACTGCAAATCCCAGAACTTAAAGTGCTTTAAATTCCCTACAAATTGTTTTTTTGAGTAAATTTATAACTTTAAAATTTCAAAAGTTATGGTAAAAAAATTAATCAACTTTTTTCGGTAAAATTTTCGGAGCGGGTAAATTACCATAATTTTTGTGTATTTTGCAGTACTTGTGAACTGATTTGAGTAAGTATTTTAATAATATACATACATACACGTATCCGAGTTCACATGTACATTCTTGTGTACATTCGTAAATTGGCCGAGGCACACATGTAAAAAATAACAGACCATTTTAAAAACATTTTGTATAATACATCTATTTATAATGTANGAATATTTTTTCATGAAATTTGGTACAGATCCATTTCAGGGGACGCCGAATCCAGTGGCGTACGCAGATTTTTTCTAAAAAAGTCGCTAATATGGATTCTGGATTTTGCAGCCTCTGAATGTGATCTAGTAGGCCTTAGTATAAAAAAGAACTGGACGCCGCTTGGCCCCAAAATACACCTTTGCTCCCTCTACATTTAAAAAAAAAATTGTCAAAATCGCTTCATAAATAAAAATGTTATGAAGGTGGCCCGCTTTCAAATGGGTCACTCTGTATGTATTTAAAACTAATATATTTTTTATATTAATTTTCTTTTTTTTTTGTTACTACAAATCTTATAAATAGTGAAATCTTGCAATATACATATGACGATTACATTTTGGACTTCACAAAATTGATGAATAAACTGGTATTCTTGCATATTATACATTACTATTTTTTTGGTGTTAAAAGATGAGGTCCATCAATAATTTTACCATAAGATTCATAACATACATTCGTAAATACTTAATGGAAATTTATGGGTTCAGATTTTAAAGAAGCCTGAAACTCAAGTTAATGTATTATTTTGTTCAGCAGAAAACTATTTTCAATGTATAATTTTATGTGTATAAGTTCTATATTATTATTTTTTTTTAATTTTTTCAATTCAAATAAGATTCTCTCTTTCAGATTAGAAAAACCGTAAATATTCAAAGCTAATGGTGGGAAATATTCATAACTTTTAGGCCCAGTTTTTAATTGTTGGTTACCGCCATATGAGTAACTAAATAATGGTTATCGCTAACTAGCAGCTAACCCCAACTTTATTTTCTTCTATTGAAATTAAGAAATAACAATTTCCTCCAAAATTAAAGGTTAACATTATCAAAAATGTAATTGTAAATTAGCTTTTAATTGTATATTACTATCACAAAATCTTCATTTGAAAAGTGTTCGTCAAGTATGTGTGATTGAAAAACCGGGCCTTATTAAAGTTATGTGATATATAGGATTATATTAGTTATGGTAATTTAAAATTTCTATTTTATTTTAGTTCTGCATTTTTCGTTGTAAGTTTTGTATATTTATGGTTTTTCTAATCATGGATAAATACGTAAATATTTCTTAAAATTAATTTTACCACAGAAATATATTGTCTTCTATGTATAATAAAATAAATTCTCCAACAAAACTTCAACTACTACAGTTTCCATTATATTTTAAGTGTTATGTGATTCTAAGTAGTTTTGAGTAGTTAGTTTTAGTGTATAAATTTAAAGACAAGTTTCGTTAATTTTCATAGAGTCTACGAACATTTTCACAATATCTACCCAGGCAGCTTTAATGCGTTGCGGTTTCAGGATCAGAATTACAACACGAGAACGTGAAAAACATAACAGTGTCTGAACATAAATATTATAGTACCCATGTGTAGTTCCACAACACTAACTGCCCCCAACAAACTAATGTACCAAAGGATGAGAAAATGAGGAAGAAATCAGCAAATATATTTTATAGAACAACTATTTTTGACAAATTATCAGATTGCTCTTGGACAAATCCAACTTCTGTAGCCATAGAATGTACAGTTTTTAAAATAATTAACAATATTGTGTTAAGTAAAAGTAAATAATATAAAATCTATCCGGCACACGTAGTTTACATAAACACAAATGAGTAAGAGTGAGACAGACTACAGAACACGACTCTACCTACACGACTCGTTAAATTTGGACCGATACTGGATCGTGACGTAAGAGTCAGCCGTCTTTGTTTAAAACTGCATTTTAGTGCATAGAGAATTATTTTGAATTTATATATTTTTTTATAAAAAAACTATTAATTAAAAATTTAAAATTTATGTGGCAATTGACTTTTTACGATGAAAGGAATTTAATAAGAAAAGAAAAAAAAATGTGAAACTTCCTCATAACTCATATAATTTTTAGGAAATTTTTCTATAAGGGGTAGGGTTTTTTATGAGGGGTAGGTCTTCCATAAGGGTTTTTTGGGTGGCTCAAAAGTTGCAATATATCATAGATCATCTGAAAACCAATAAAAAGTTTATAATTCAACATATGCATATCATTAAAACATCTCAAGTTTTCAATAATATTTATTTGTTTATTTTATTATAAGGGATGGTTTTTAAGGGTTGTAACTTTGTAATGAGTCGTAAGCTTTCTAATCAATAATAAAAGAAATGCAATACATTGTGAATGCACCAAATTACATATGAAAACCTTAAACTGTAACCAATTTTATATGCATATGCTTTTTGTTAGTATTAGTATTATTAAATAAATTTCGTTGTCTAATCACAAATCACTAACTACTAAATTCCATTTTTTTATTTTCAGACTATTTTCTATTTAGAAGAGGTTGTAGAATAGAAAATCCAGGTGTTCAAAATTGCTCTTAAAATTTGTTAGGACCAAATTAGAGCGCTTTCATTTAGATTTTAGAGGCAAATCAAAAGTAAATTTCTTTAAAAAAAATGTCCTGATATGTCAGTCCAAGATCACGCTGAAAGGGCCCTCAGAGTGCTCTTATGCATTCAATCTCACTCGGCATAGGATACAACATGCAATGGGGTTAAAGAACTGTCACTGTCTAATAAAAACTTATTCAAATAAAAATTGTTTTTGTTTTGAGAGTACTGAAGACTAATTTTCAGGTCACGAAAAATTGCCACCAGGGCGCGTTCGAGTAAGTTTAAATATAGACGATTTTTTCCAAAATATTGACAGTTAATCATATTATTGCATAGATAAATAGACGATAAGACACCACTATTATTATTTTAAATGTTGAATTGAAGGCAAACATTCTTTAGCGTAGTTAAAAAAATTAAGGTAAAGGGCCATATTATTCAGAAATGACAAATTCTGATGTGAATATCAAACCCATACCGAATCGTGAAATGAGTACAGATTTCTACATTGTAGAATGAAATAGTATTTTGTTTTAGGCATGTGCGAAAAAGTATTGGGAGACGCTGAACCAAGAAAACATGTAAGCGTCTTTTTGTAAATGAACATATCTTTTTTTCAGAGCTTTGACGTCTAGAAAGGCTTCGGCTGCTTCACCTTCTTCTCCTAGTAATAAATTAGTTCCCGATATTAGTACAATTCACAAAGTTCTATTCCAACGGAAATAATTGTCTTGTGAGTTTCTTTTGTTCTATATGTAAGGAACATTAATATTAGATACTGTGTTTTCTCCTTTTTTTGTATTTAATATCTTTTTTGTGTAATAATTTACTTGTCTAATAAAGTACGTTTATTTTAAATATTATTAATTGTAAGATAATGTGGCTTTCTACCTATTTCCTTTCCTTTTAACACATAAAAATTATATTATAATAAATCGGGTGAACTAATCTTAAATTGACACAGTGTGTATACTAAATCCACAACCCTCACTTTATTAAACTAAAAATGGTTTTCCAAACAGTGCATGTTCATATTTTTTGTGGTATTTTTTAAGAAATTCAATATTGTCCCAAATTTCAATGGTTTGATTTTCATTTTCTTCAGCTATTTTTTATAAATAGTGAAATATCTTGATAATTAGTAAGAAGAATTATTAAAAATTACTTAAAAAGTTTAAAGAGGAAAAAAGTGTATAAAGTCAAACTATTAAATAAATATTTAAAAATCGAAGAAATACAGCGTGTAACTTGGGTACAGGCTTGGGTACGTGGCTTACAGGGTAAGTGCGGGTCAGTGTGTTAGGGGTAATAGTATGTGTTTCTCAGAATACGAATCTGAAATTCTTTTTTTTTTAATCAAATAAATAGTCGTTATTTAAAATGCACTTTTATAATTGTGTACGCCGCCACTGTAATGTTCATGTATTACAAATTCATGAATTATATGCAACCCACAGTCCATGTGATGGGAGATAGTGCGACTCAATGGTGATGAAGCGAAGGGTGTCCTTTGTTGTTCCACATTTGGAGACAGTACATATAACTGAATTTGAATGTTTTTCATTGCTGGAGACCATCAACAGACCATTTATTTTTGTGTATTTCATTTATCATTGTTGATTACTGCTCGAGCTTTTTGCTAGGTTACTTGTTAAGTGCTGTTTGTGTGGCCAATACCCATTCAACAACAGTAACTCGTGGCAACTGGCGAATAGTGAGGAATTGTACGTGTGCTGCGACTAAAGCGTGCCGTTATTTGAGGTTACACTAGCTTGTCCAGTGGCAGGGTAAGAAAATGATTAGAAAATGGTTAAAAAAAATAAAAATTTTACNAACTATATATTTAATTTTGGATTTTAGATGATATTGTTTAAAACTGTAAAATAATAATTAAAGATAATCTGAAAGAAACAGCACGTCTTTGCGATTTGGATATATCTAGTAACGTTTAAGGTTTGTTAAATCGTGGCAATATTTTAAAATTCCCTTTGTACAAACGCTGTTGCTAGAATATAGTTTTATTTATCATAAATGGTTTTATTTCTCACCTCTTGACAACCATGTCAAGATTATGTACTACCACATACCAGTTCATAATTTCCAGAATTTAAAGGCTGGGATAAATATTAACAATTTTCACTTCTATAGAAAAAATTATGGTAGTTGTTTACTCGATTAATCGCAACTGACGGCTGTAGTAGAAAATTGAAATTCTTTTTCTCATGAAGTACCTGCCAATTAGCTTTAAACAGTAAGTATACCTTTTATACTAAAAAATCATGAAAAGTCATTATTTCTGGTTTATACAGTAGTGTAATATTTAATTTTTATAAAAGGACCCTAAAAATAAATTTTGCGCGCCACCTTCCACAGACTACTATGATGTAGATCTGCGTTACTACTGTCCATGTCAAATCAAAAAGACACACGGAAACAAGACATTTTTCGGCAAAATTTTGTTTAAGTATTAATTTTCATTGCAGAATTTGATGACGTTTGTCCGATTTGTAATCGAAAGTCTTATATAGGTATAAAAAATATTTGAATCATTACGAAATCAAAAATTTTGTTTACGTAAACTTAAATTGGAAATGACTAATAATATTTACACTAGTTACAATCTCCGGGTAGTGTTCCTGTACATATTTAGCAAGAAATAAAATAACAAAAACAAAATCTTATGGAGCATTCCAAAACGCCTAATTTATTTTGAATGACCTATTATTTTCAATGTTATATTCGAAATATGCTAAATTTGCTATGTGAACTTTATTTTGTTATGGTGCCTTGCGAAGAATTCAAATTTATCTCGGGGAATTAGAATTATAACGAATTCTACAAATATTTGCATAAATATGAATATATTTCTCAAAACCTGACTGATATATTATCTTAAGAAAGGATTATGTCGTTACGTTATTTTCTTCAAATTATAATCTTAAGAATGTGTACGTCACTAAATAATAAAAACAACATAATTTCGGTCCATGGATACATGGGCGAAACGTACGTAAGGGAAGCTTGTAAGGCTTATCTGCTGATTTAATTCCATGAACCAAATTTTATGAAAATAAAGTTTATAAATAAAATAATACATAGTTTTCAGAAGTATAATAAAATATTCGTTGTTGCTCTTTTGGGGGCCATAGAAAGGCAACAATTTGAATTGACAGCTGAGGTTTTACCACAGCATTCGAATCTGAAATTAAAGCTAAGATTGTTTTTATACCATTCCCACCCAGGTTTAAAAAACAATTAATTAAAAGGAAATGCAGTGTTTTATTAATAATTATAATTAGTCAGGTATGTGACATATGTTAGTAAACTAATTTAACTTTTCTTACAAATAAAATGCTAATATTTTCAGTATTGCTCTACATTTAGCTCAAAAATATTAAGATAATATAACCTGATGTGACGGTACCAAATTATGTCCTAATAAGAATTAGCTCACCAGTAAATGTAGAATTTTATTAAAATTAACTAATCAACAAATTACACCGATAGGAATTCATAATTGTAAGTATCAATTTTTCAAACGTTTTAGAAAGTATGTCTTCTTAACACGACACAAAGAACAACTTTCATAATGAAACAATTTCGAATGGAATCTGCGAAATAAAAAATTATAATAGGATTCCCTACCCTGAGATCTCGAAAAGGGTGGCACAACTGATAAATACAAACCGGCGCCTTTTTTCATTTTTTACAAAATTAAATTTTCTTTGCAATTGTGCCTATTTAAATATTGATTTCCATTTTCCATTCCATTCCATTTCTCATATTTCATAATGAAACTATAAAAAAATAGAAATTTTGGGAAAACTAAAAAAGCAACGGTTTATATTATATTATCAGTTGCTTTCGAAAAAAATTTTTTGTAAATACAGTGCTATTTTTTTAAAACCTGATATACGCTAACTTTTTTATTTGAAGCGATAGACTAGTACTGCCAAATGCAAAGTTGTAGGAAATAACTTGATTAAGAAAAATTTACTAATAATTCTTTCCGGTGTTGCCAGATTTCTGCAGTAGCTACTAAAACAATATTTTTTTAAATGGCAACACCATATTTTTTTTAACATAATTTGAAATTCTAAATAAAAAATTTTATGTCACATTTCTTTATTGGAGTAGCCATTTTAGAATGATCAACAAAAACGACGAAATCTGCAGTTGCCAGGAACTAAAAGAAACTAACAGCAATAGTAGGCCCTGGATATTAAACAAAAATTGTGTTGTTTGAAAGGAGCCATCATTATTGTGCTGTTATTGTGGTATTTGACAGCGGTTGTATTTGAATTTGTATAAAAATAACGGTTTAATTAAGTTGTTAAGATGATTTTCAGTCTTTTGCAGATCCTTGAGCACACACTCAGTTGTTTTTAGTTTTACTGAGTTATTTCTTAAAAACTCCGGATTTGGAAGAGGCTTAAAAATTAATTTCTCTTGTGGATTGATTGTGGAACTGATACATCTTAGCAACTGAATTAAAACGTTATTTTTTATACACATTCAAATGCAACAGCTGTCAAATAACACAATGACAGTACAATAATGATGACTTCTTTAAAACAGCACAATTTTTGTTTAATTTCCAAGACCTACTATTGCCATGTTAACTTCTTTTAGTTCCTGCCGACTACAGATTATTTTCGTTGTTTTTGCTGATTGTTCTAAAATGGCTACTCCAATAAAGAAATGTGACATAATATTTTCTTTTTACAATTTGAAGGTTTGCCAAATTATGTTAAAGAAATACGGTGCCATTTAAAAAAATATCGTTTTAGTAGCTAATGCAGAAATCTGGCAACACCAGAAAGAATTATTTGTAAATTTTTTTTAATCAAGTTATTTCCTACAACTTTGCATTTGGAAGTACTAGTCTATCATTTAATTAAAAAAGTTGGCCTATGCCAGGTTTAAAAAAAATAGCACTGTATTTTACACAGATCACACATATTTTTGCAAAATATTTTTCGTGTATCGTTTTTTAAATTGTTCACTTATAGCCTAGTTCACTTTAGCATAGTTGTATATACATGGTGAATAATTAATAATTGTACATATGCTAACTGGATAATCCTGGGCTGAAAATATGAAATGACAACATAACGTTTAGATAAAATATGGCTCCTTACGGAGTTACAGTGTTTTATTTAAAAAATTTTAATGATTTTTGCTAGTGATGTAAAATAGCATGCTATTTAGTTTTGGGTGATGTATATCAAAATATATATCATTATATATATCAGATGAATTTTGTTAAAAAAAAACTATATTCAAATTAGTTTTTTTATATTGCTAATGCCTTGCTGATTAATTTGACACCAAATACATGTCATATATATGAACTTTAAGAAAAGTTATCAAGTGATCTTTATTTTTTTTCATATTTAGATTGGAATTTTATATTTTTTTTATCATACTGACTTCTAATTTTTGT